ATAGAATTGCATATTTCCACTGATGAAATAACGATTTGTAAGAAGCAGAAAAAAAGTAATTCTTCAAAAGCATATTAGTACATTTATACTTCAATTGTGAAAAGGAAAAGAAAGTTAACATATGAATTATTTAAAGTAAAATAACCTTGGAATTCACTTGATGTTGTTTGCTTGGATCTTCTCATTGTTGTTTAAGACTGTAATTGATCAGTCTCTTATTGGCATATGTGCATCCTGTGTGGACTGACTTCATATATTGCCTTAATTCATAAACAGGGGAATCTAGGACGTACAATCCTAAACAACAATGGGAAGATACAAGTAGAACAATACCAAGTGAATTTAAACTTCACCCTATTACACAAGCAAGTGGCTATTAGGAGTTATTAGGCATGTGGATAACGCGATGGCATTTGAAGTTAACGGTATTGGGTTTGAGTGCTGGAGTGAACATCAACTCTAGGATGCAGATACATCCAGTTGACGGGTCTCAAATAGAATGGAACGCGCGCTCTGGATTCCATTGCTAGCCAACATCCATCTTTGCTTATAAAATAATCTTTATTAATACATCGGTCTTGTTAAAGTCAAATTTCTAATTTCCAATAATAATTAAATGTAATAAGTAGATAATGGTACACTCTTGGAATTCCACTCACCTTTTTCTAAACATTATATATATATATATATATATATATATATATATATATATATATATATATATATATATATATATATATATATGAACTGATCATCTAATTTTATCTAGCCTTTTAGTAGTGATTCAATCCTACAAATCATGTTGTAATGTGATCATTAGTCTAAGGGACTCGATATTGAATGGACCATTTCGATATATTAGGGGTTTAGAAGTGGTCTGTAGGGAATTTTTATCTATCTACGTTTCATCATAGCTAGCACACGTTATCAAGATTTGACTGTAGTCTTGAGGTAACTGATGGATCATGTAGAATTACATTCCACTTCATAAAGTTTCACAATCTGAAAATATACCTCGGCGTTATTCAGGCAACTATCTTTAAAAATACAATCGTCATTGGTTCAGTATTTTTCTGATTCTGTGATTTGACGTCAACTTTTATCATCAATAAGTCTAAAGTGCTGTGGTGATGGAGACGGTATCAGTCTAATGTTTCATTAACTGGTTGATTTTTATTACAAAGTTTCAAATCATTTCAAACTCATCACACCGCTTCATCGCTTATGTAAATGATTTGAATTACGTCCTGTTGCTGAACGGTTAGAAAATATAGAATAGAATAAATTCATCATGACTCTAAACATTATGGTACTCATTACTATGGGATATTTCCAGCCTATCATATTACTGTATAAACTTTATTTAATTAATGTGTTAATCAATCAGTTTCTTAGGAATCGAATATAATTTCATTGATCGAATAACTTGATTTCACTAGATACCGAAATTATGCAAAGGAAAAAGTAACTGGCGACATTATTGATGTTACCGCTTAATCTTAACACTAATTACTTACAGGATGACTAAGTATTTATAAACAAACTAGTTCAATCTTTTCGGTCTGAATGAATTATGTTAAACAATTTACATCAAAATTAATTCGAATAAATAATAACAATAACAACACCTTAAAGTGTTTATTGTAAGTTAGAAACATGCTGTGCATATATGACATGCAATAGACAATTTTACCGTCCATGCATACAAGTGAAGTATAGTGAATGAATGTCGATATTTGTATTGTAGTCAAGCAGGCAGCTAAATATGATATAGAATACATCAATGTTTTATACTGAAGGGTAAGAAACGCATTGATTTGATGAATTGTATGATAAAGATCAGAAGTTTCAACTCTTCATTTTGTAAAAACAATTGCAATCTATGATAAGAATAATTAATTCTTTATTGTAAGGTGATAGTGAATTAAGGAAATAGTAATCTAAACTTGGATCAAAAGAAAATATAAATCAAAACAATTCAGTCGAAATTCATGTTTGAATTGGTTTTGTTTATAGATTTATATTAATTAGGGGTACCGTCAAAGATCTGAGTACGGGATAAACGTTTCATCCTAGTATGGGACTCATAAACAGTGTGGAATCGATGGATAGAAATTATAATGTTTAGGGTGTTGGGTCGTGACAAGCCATCTGTCAGAATCCTGATCCTAATTTAGTCAACTTTGAGTTTGGTATTTAATCAACAGCTTACTGTCTCTGATTTGGCTGATTACAACGCCAGAACACCACCATTAAATTTGAGTCAACAGCTAAGTTCCTATTAGTCCATTAATTACAAGATTCTCTCTAAGCCTTGTCCACGAGCCCTAAAAGCAGCAACCAGCCTCCACTAAACCTATATTTTTTATAGATGTGGTTTGTATGAAGATATATCAGACCACATCACACCAGTAAGTGAAAAATAACAGCCATAAATAAACAAGCCTAAAGTCGAGACAGTAAATAAGAGACTGGGACCGAAATAGGATTGGTAAATCGTGTGACCGTAGCTTATGCATCAACCAGAAACTTACGATAAATGGAATATATATACATAGTAATCTAGTTACTGAGTTACTGTAAGACAAAATTATAATTAATAGTAATTTGGAAAGACCAGTTCCCACTTCTGCTATATCCGTTCCCTCATAACATAGGGGGGTTGAATGAAAGAACTACAGTCTCATTTCAAACAAATGAGTACTGGCAACTGAAAGACAGAGAACTGGCTTTTAGGTCTTATATTTATAATTATTCGTAAACACATTCAATGGAAGTATTTGAGAAATTCAGACAATAACATTCCACATGTTGTGTCAATTTTTATAAATTTCTTCAAGCATACAGTACTGAGTGGTTAAAGGATAGTTTGTCATCTAAGTATGTTATTTACAAGATTCTATGAAATTGTGGACATAATTATTGTTATGACTTTATGTCCGGCTAGTTATTACGTGATTTATCTACCAATCGAAATACGACTATACTATCTTCACACTGTGCTACACCAATGACGTTTGGTCGGTGCGAGCAGCCTATCGTCCTTATTGGTCCTGCTTCCCGCCTAGCCCATCCAGTCGAGTCCAGAACACCAATACCAGCTTCCATTATGAGAATCACTTATCTCAGCCATACTGGGTTTATATGTCAACCAAACAGACCACAATGTACAATAAAATAGGAAATAACATTTATATACAATAAAGCCAAGGGTGAATGTGAACGTGGGAGACAGTAATCAATAAACTGAGTATAACTTATTAACAGTAAATCATACAATAATAATCTACAGGTCAAAATGAAGCTTATAATAAGATAATATGAATATATACAATCTAATTACTGAATAGTTATATCATAAGAATATATTAATAATATTATCTCAGAAGTTACTCGTGATTTAATCTTTGCTAGGATATAACAAAGAGAAATTTGTCTTGACCCAAATTCTAATCTTCTGAATTCTTCATATCCCTATGACCATATAGGACGATTAAAAGTTATCGAAAATAGGGTAATACTAATCAATGGATTCTTCAGGCATACAGTACTGAGTGGTTAAAGAATAGTTTGTCATCTAAGTATGTTATCTACAAGATTCTATGGAATTGTGGACATAATTATAGTAGACGTTAGCTCATAGAAAATTAATTTCCTTGTTAAGTTATGTCTTTAGTACTTCAGTAAAGATAAAAAGAGAGTGGTAAGCAAATGTATTTCTGACCATAATCCCTCGGCAAAAATGTAACTAATCTAGTTTACTTTAACAATATGTACTAAATTTGGCTTGAAATCAACCAAATCGCATTAGAATTCTACAAATAGAACAAAATAATTTTAAAGAAGTGAATCATTAATATACAGTTGATACAGTTGGCACTTTAAAGGTGGATATTTTGACCATTTCTTTCAACACTCATTCTTTTTATTGAAGCTCTATATGGGATGGCATTTCATTGTTGTATATGAAGATAAGTTTAACTTAACAGTACATCTTTGGTGTTGTAGAAAAGTCGAATTAGTTAATTTGATTTTCCTCTTCTAATTTATGAATGATATCAGTCATGTTCTTTTAATTAACGTGTTTTGTACTCGACACTTGGGATCAATGCATTTCTTCAGTTTACATAGACTTCAGTGTAAACAAAGATTCACCCAAAATCAATAATATTGTATTTAATTCAATTTTGTTAAGGTTGTCTATCTGCAAACTTATATGAAGCATATTAACTCTTGTTTCATCATATAAGAATAGTAATACAAAAACTGAATGCCATTAAAATATTAGATTAATAATAAAAACTAGGCTGCTTACTAAAGTCTTCCATTTTAAAGATCCTTTATCTGTTTTTAATTGTTATCAGAAAATCAATTTGATATGTTAAACTAACTTCAAGTGACTTATCACCACCCATTTGACCTTCGAATTCAATTCAGTTCATTGAGGATTCAGATCAGAAAACTCAACAAAATAGCTAGTGAGGTGACATAAAAATGAAAACTACAAATCCCTTGATTACGTTATAGCTTATGTGAACAGAGAAATAGAGAAACCATGACGAACAACGGAAGCGATTTTTGTGAACATTAATTTACTTAATTTCACGTCCCTAGGTTATTCTATAAACCAAAAGCTTTCTTTTGATGCATGATTCACTACCATATCCTTTTTTTTATTACAAAGTTGTTGTAATTTAAATGTAATCTTTAATACTTTTTTTTTCTACCCTTATGCCTGGTTTGGATGTAATTATAATTTTCTAATTGCTTGTACGTTGTGGTTGTGTCATTCATCTATCTATTCATGTATTTCCTTGCACTCATCTGAATCGGGAATCAGTAATAAATAGAGTAGTGTTTTACTTGACTCGTCTTTTCTCTCGCTTGTGATTACCGAAACTATGGGGTATTTCGACCATACTTTAAGAATATTTGTTCACAAAGCAAGCATTAGAGTATTAACAAACAATGGTGATATTTAAAATTGTATACTGACTTACTTCTTCCATGAAATGTTCTGCAGTGTCGTGAATTCTTTGTTCAATTCTATGTATAATATTAGCAGCATCTCGAACGTTATGTAACTGAGATTGAACTTTTCCAATACGTTGACATGTAGTATCTAAATTCCTACTTATTTCATGTCGTAATTTTGCGACAGCTTCACCAAAACTTGTTACTTCATGTTCACGATGTGCATTGAATGTGCATAGAACACATATACACATTGAACAAGCTTCACAATAAAATCGTACAGTTTCACCTGGATGATCTTTACATTCAATATCACTATGTGATTGTAACTCAAATGTCGCATGATCTTTAGTAACTTTAGTATTTCTATGTCGTTGGACACATTCATCACATAGAAGTTTATTACAATCTAAACATTTCGATGTTGCTTTTGGTGAACTATTTAAACAAGCTGAACTAGCGCGTTGTTGACTATTACCATTATAATTGTCATTAGCATTAGTTAGACCATTGATTTCTGATGAATTTGTTTTATTCAATGGTTCACTTGAATGTCCTCTATCAATTCGACTTACTTGTGAACAAATCTCACATTCTCCATAACGTAATTGCTTCCTTTCCAAATTTGGTAATTGATGTAATGAATCAATACTTTCGTTAACAGTGGTTGATACTCGTCTACTATTTTCCATTCTATTGTTAATTCTACAAGTAGTTGGACTACCAATAATTGTAGCTGTTGACGAACCATTCGATGATGCTCTTTGTCGTAGTACTAAATCAGTTAGGCCAGAAATTAGAAAATTATCTGGTAATCGTTTAACACCACCTAATGGAAGTTGTGTACGTTTACGACATAATGGGCAAGTGAAATCACGATAATCTGTATATTTATTATAAGTAACTTCAGCTGATATATGCTTTTCAATACATTTTGCACAGAATGTATGCAAACACGCAAGACATTTTGGATTCGTATAACTATCGAAGCATATTTTGCAAACAAGAAATTCATCATGTATTTCTTGAGCTAATCGACCAGCTACTGTACCTAAAAATGGATCATTCGCTAAACGAGCTGTATCAATTCTTGGTAGATTTTCAGTTAAAAGATCTTCACATTGTTTAGGTGAAGCGGATTTAACATTAGCCCCAGCCTCATCATGATGAACTACAAAGAAAGTAAAAAACATTATTATGTTAGACTGAAATCTAGCAATAATTTTATAGATAAAAAGTAGTTCTTTATCAAACGATTAAGGTTCTATACAAGCTGAATATCTACATAACGCGACTCGTTCTATATTAACCCCTCATGTTGATATTTTTATACCTGATTTGATTATTTAATAACTGAATACTAGAAAATGTTATTAGGGAGTAGTAGAATCGAGACAAAAATAATATAATTTAGCCAAATTTGCTGATTATGTAAAAGTTTTAGGCAAATTAGTTGTGAATACACTGTGCGTTATATTATTCGCTTTACAACTAAAATCATTTTCCCAATGTCATATCACAGTAATCATTGGTGTGAACTACTGGGACATTAGATATCAACTGAGACTAGTTCAGCAGATATATCGGTTGTATTTATGAGCAGGTGTCACTATTTTTGTATCACTGTTTGATAATACATTAAGCATTCATATTTCAAGCAAACACGTACCAGGCCTGAGTTCTAATGTGAACAGCAACACTAGGATACAGACTTATCCATCCAAAGAATCCTAAGTAGGATGAAACATACTTTTTGGATTCTAATGTTAAACACAATCTAAATATATCATTTTATGCATCTAGTCGATTAAACGTGATAAAACTTTTATCATTGATTATCATCCTTTCTATTGAATTTTTTAGATTACCCTCACTATTTAAGCCTGTATTTATAGACAACGATAATTACACAGATTTCCCGTTTATATGTAAATGAGTTATTATCTGATCAATAATCCTCTTTTTTTTGTTGCCCTTTACCTTTCACGTATTTAAGGCATATTCACTTTAAAACCATACTATTTTTTGGATACATTTTGATAGGCAATTTATTTCCTTGATAACTGTTTGGGTGTGCTCTGATAACATTTAAACAATGTTTACATATTCCTATCTCATTTGTTCAATGTTATATATATATATATATATATATATATATATATATATATATATCAGTAAGTAAAGATAAGGAGAAGGAACTATGTTGATCAATGAATCATTATAGAATATTTCCCAATAAATATGTTTATTTTTGTAATGAAGTTATCTATACAAACTCTATACATTTATAAAATCAGAATCTAAAGACTAATATCATGTGTCTTCTTTTATGACAAGTGAAGAGAAACGATATTTATAAAAATGTTGTTTAATGTGTTCATTATAAATAAATATCATGTAATAAGAAGCATAGAATGTCTAGTCTAGGAATTTTGACATAGTTGATAAAAACAGTATCATAAATTATAAACTACTTCATATTATGACTGTTTCAAGTTTTAATACAAATGAATGCTTATTATTAGAATGGGGGGTTTGTGAAGTTTGTAGTGATTCTAATAGTTGAATTTTCGAGTCAATGTAAGCTAAATCTTTCGTTCGAGTCCCGCATATAGGATCGTGGATATGCACTGCTGATGAGTCCCATCCTAGGAAGAGATGGCCATCCAATGCTTCCAGGTTTCTAATGGTATTCTAACATTAATTGATCAATCATCTCAATCAAAAACTGATTCTTTTGTTGGGAAATTCCTGTATTTTTGTCTAATAATATCTTGTTTCTAACTTTCAGTTTCAGTTCCAAAAATACAAGTTGACGTCATTGCATATAATATGATCAAACACATGTATGGCTTGTTATTACGCAATCGTTGAATAATAATAATAATAATAATAATAATAATCTTGAAACATAAATATTTATTGTATACACTCTAATCATTTTCAATGTTTTTAGGTCATGTAAAAATTAAGTAGATCAATACAGTTTAGGATAAACCTAGTAGCTTGCCAAAAATTATCTTATATAATTAAGGTTGATTATATATAAACAAACATTTAATTGCAGTACATATGTATAAAATTTTCCTATTGAATATTATAATAATTGTATATGTATCTTATGCAGACGCATAATTATTTAATTAAGGAAGAACTACACAATATGTACATATGGGGAAATATTTTTGGTCGGATAATAATACTTAACAAATATTTAACAACATAGTGCTGAATTTAGGTGAATTCTCAGCATGTGTTAAAGAGATTAATTGATCACATTGATGTAAGATATTTATAGACAATACTAGTTAAGTACAGTTTTAGGTTATAAGGGTGAAGATGAAAATTTACAGCTCGGATAAGGGTCACGTTTTGATAAAGATGTCATAGGATTATGTCTTATGAATTAAAGTATTAAAAACGTTGCTTATACTAATCAGAACCAATTTTTCATAGGAGGTAAAGCTTCCAGTGTTTACTTATCAGTACCGAATGATTTTATGCAGAGATGGATAGTGGCTAGCAGTGGAATCCAGGACGCGCGTCTCGTCCTATTTGGGACTCGTCAATTTGATGTACCTGGATCTTAGAGTTGATGCTCACTCCGGGATTCGAACCCAGCACCGTCAACTTCAAACGCCATCGCGTTATCCACTTGTCTACTGAGTCCTGATAGCCACCAGCTTGTGCAATAGAGTGAAGTTTAAATTTACTTGGTATTGATTTACTTGTATCTTCCCAATATGAGACTGATCAATTGCAGTCCTAAATAACAATGGGAAGATGCAAGTAAAACAACACCAAGTAAATTCAAATAATTTTATGTTGATAATCTTGTCCTTTATCAATGCTCATTGAGTTTCATTATCTATATTTTTTTTGATAGATAACTTAATGATCGATTGACCTTTAGCTAACTGATTGGTAGATTTAGAATATATTTACATGTATGTTGATTATAGTCAGACATAAATTATAAGCTTCTAGAAAGTTTCTAACGGTTGTTTTTATTCAAAACTCAATCTAATTTGTATCTACACAGTGATACATGGAATGAAATATAGAAATCACTAAATAGCCAATATATGTTTAGAAAGTGTGGAGATGAAAGAAAAGTTAACATTGTTCCATATATTGCTAATAACAATATGTGCAATTCGAGTGTTAGGTTAAATAATATGTTGCTTAACTATTCAAATGAGAGAGTTTATATTCTTGTTCAAGTGAATTTTAATTACACTTTAATGACTTGTTAAGATATAATATATCTAAAGCCAAATTTCTCACCTATTTGAAAGCATTATTTCACCTTACGAAATGTCTTAATAACCCAACAACAGTTTTTCTGATAATGTTGATAGTGGGCTTGATTTGAGAATAATAGGTTACTGGAATCGATATTCTTCTGAATTTACTATAATTTTGTCTTTAAGATAAGAAGGATGTAGTTGATGTTAGCTCCTTTTTTTCATCTCTATGCAAATCATTATATTGTTATCAATAAATGATGTAATTATTGTACATTGACTGTTTGTATACTGATATTTAAGCTTCATTTACGTTTCTTTTCTTGATTAAAGGATTCAAAGATGAAAATTATTTTTGTTCAGTTTCAACTTATTTGATGTATTGATGGATTGAAAAAATATTTTTAAATTTTCGTGTTTGTAAATTTTAGTTGATCCCCAGAGGTTGATATCGAATAATTGAATCTTTGGTTTAATTGTCGGTATAACTCTAATCTTGTTGTAATTGATACAAATAGACGTATTTCATTACCGTGAGTATTGGAAATCGTTATCTATTTCTGAATATATCATAAATGATAACATTGTCAATTTATAGTTTATTTAATATATGAAACTATTGTTTAAAGTTTTAGCTTATTCCTTGTCAGATGGTATTCTTGTTTTCCATAATGGCTTGTTTAACAGAATTACTTAACAGTTAAACATTATTTCCTTGGTGACCGTTTTTTAAAAAATAATTTTAATCACTTTATTGCTAAAACTATCAGTTATTCTGTTTTGATGGCACTTTTTAGATTCTTAAATCACGGCGATTAACGTCGATATATTTAGGGATTGGTATTATTTCCAATTACTTTTTCGGGATGTTAAATTGCCTGATAATATTTATGTGATTTATATAAGTCGTCGATACTCATTAACTGCATAGTTCAATTTTACAATGCTTAGCTTATTTCCATCCTCTTAGGTTAATTCATTAAAAGTATATTTCTGACAATACTACACAAAACTAGTCAACGAAGATATTCATAAATGGAAAAATAATTGTTCTCCAATCTATGTTAATGTGTTGGTTAATTTCCCTCGTTTCCCAATAAGTGGAAGGATGTAAAATTAGTATTTTCTTTATTTATCTGAACACATAAATATTGGTACAAAGAGGCACCGAAACGTATGCGTTACACAAGTCACTTGACTTGTGTTTGTGTTGTGATACTGTCCGTGTGCCCAGACTGAAGCAGGTGGTTTTATTAGGAGGCCACACCCGGAGACTTGGACCTAAAAGTCTGATCTACAAAACAGTGACCAACTACTTGTTCATACGCCATTTGTTTCCTCAGGATCATGGACCTCATGTACACCATCGGTTTGTAATCAGGGTCTCCCAACCCCCCTAGGTGGATCCTCCGTATCTACCGACCCGGTTAAAGCATTGAACATTCGCTTTTCGTCTTTGTAAACAACACCCCTGCCACGAGAAGGTAGTAAGTAGGACTTCCCTATCAGTGGCTGTATACACATGGCTATTTGAGGTTATTTCGAGTGGGAGAGCTGACTTTCCCCACCCTCGGCCGTACAAGGACATGTGGAGGTGGTGACAAGTGACATCAGTAAGATTCAAATAAGAAATCTAAATAACTACTTAATGACTTTTGGTTTGAAGTAATTTAAAATTAGAAAGTTCTATAGATTTTTATATTTCAAGACATGAAAACTAATGGAGGACAAGGATGGAGAAAATAGAACAAAATATCAAGATTATGGTTTATCATTTGATTTGATTATTACTAATAATACCCTACACAGATATTATCAAATTTTTTCAAATACTTTCTTATTCATTGTTAATTTTATGGTTAGTTAGTACTTTTGTTTGTCAATTACATTATGATGATCTAGTCTAAATATTTTATTTTATAGC